GCGTGTGGTCGGTTTAATGGGGGAAAGCAATGAGTTGTGCTCGTGCTGTTGTCAGTTTAATTCTCAAAAATGTCCTCGCTCTCGGCTGAGCGCGTGCCATTTAGTTGATTGAGACATTTTGTAGAGCCCATAATAGCGATTGAATATGGATGGATCGATGGAATCTCCACATGCCAGCACCCTGACATCTGCCTGCATACCTGCCTGCTTTCAGCATATCTTACATGGATAAACTAGTGCACTGTACATCTAAATATTGTAGTATCACAGCTATTTGGAGAGATGCTGTGTTTGGCATTGGCCTCACATGCTTTTGCTTTTCTCTAGAATTCATTACAGTATTTAAATATTTTAGTGTTTTTGGTACATTTTTTTAGCAGATATGCGGTCTTAAAATCGGAGGTTTAGAAAAAAACGTAAATACCATTCATTCTAACCACCAATGAAGATTGAATCTGGAACTGTAAGTCTGCAATCGATAGCGTGTTGTTGCAGTCATTGACTATACAGATGGTGTGCCTTGAGTAGTGGACATACATTTGACAACACTAAGCTGTATTGTGTGCCGCAGGGCATTACATCATCTTTGGGATAACCATCTGTTCATTAGCTGGTGATAAGGACGCGTTCCTTAGTGGTGTTCAAATGGTTATATTTTACCCGTATATATTATTCATTTCAAGCCTGATGTTATGGCCAGACATAATTCACATGGAATAGTGAGTCAATAAGAAAAGGCTTTGTAGTAGACAGCCTTCCCCAGTGTGCTAAAAAGGAACACACAGTTTATAAAGCATGTACGCCTAACATAAGTACACATTTGAACAAACAGTCGGGGTCACTGACTGCTTGCGAGTGGAGGCCAGCATTTTACATTTGGACATTTTGAACGCCCTCTTCATGCGAAGAGTGTGAAAGCAATTTGGCTGAAATCTGTGCGAGTCAATGATCAAAGTACAGGGACATGTAAAAACAGTGCAATTTTCTTTTGGGGAATTTAACCACAAGAGGTTGTTATTATAATGATTAATATTCGTGTGGAATTTGGTGTTTATTTTCTGTTGAAAGGGCCCATGGTGCCCACTGCTGAGTGATAACCATTGAGGAAAATGTTCGCCTTTTTATCTCCAATATTTATAAAGCTTCGGAGTTGCTGCAGATGATGGTAGTGATTAGAATGTTTATATGCTCGGTCTTGTGAATGTTTCTGCTTCTGTACCACTGGTACAGTGTATAAATAATTTCGTACTGTCTGCGGTGAACTGTATGTGTGTATATATGTGCGAGGCATTTCTAATCAATTGTCTTTAGTTAAAACGTAGAACGATAACTAAAACAACTAAATTTCAACCGAATTTATTGACAGCCATACTCTTTGGTTCTTTCGGTAAAGTCACGTAGGTGTAAAATAAAATAAATTACATCGCGACGTTTCGGAAGCAACACAAGCGTCCGTCATCAGGTGGGAAAGCCACAGCAAGAAAATGCTGAAGTAGGCGAGAGAGCTGCCGTGGCAAGAGGTTATATAGGTAAGAAAGGGGGAGGCTGTAGTGGGCAGTTGCTGTAGTGGGCAGATCCACTCCAGCAATGTTTCTTGCTGTGGCTTTCCCACCTGATGACGGACGCTTGTGTTGCTTCCGAAACGTCGTGATTTAATTTATTTTATTTTCTACCTACGTGACTTTTACCGAAAGAACCAAAGAGTATGGATCCCTGCAGTCACGAAAACTTCAGATCTAGTTTATTGACAGCCTTCGTACGTCATGTCCACTGACAAATGAAAGGTGCCCCTCCGCATGTTGGTGGTCGTGGCGGATTTTAACCATACCACACGATAGTTGTTGTCCTAGCGAGTTGGGGGTGGAGGAAGCGTGCAGGACTGGTTCAGATTTCACTTGCCATTGTTAGACGTAGCTGGGATTGCTGACTCGAGGTCACAGTGTGCGAGCTCATGCTCAGCTTTATTCTTTAGCCTATAGGTGAACCTGTTTATTCTATAACTCATTCTCAATTATATTCTTGGTTCTTTCGGTAAAGTCACGTAGAAGGGAAATAATAAAATAATAAAAAAATCAACAATACAATTCTCACGACGTTTCTTGCTGTGTTTTTTCACACCTGATGATGATTGCTTGTGTTGCAGTCGAAACGTCGTGAAAATTGTATTGTTCTTCTTGGTTTTTTGGGTAAAGTCACGTAGAAGGGAAGTAATAAAATAATAAAAATAAAACATAATAACATAATTCTCACGATGTTTCGGCTACAACGCAAGCAGCCGTCTTCAGGTGAAGAATGAGACACTGCCAAGCTAGGAGATTATATATAAGCTGGGTTGGAGGTGGAAGAAGAGCGCCTTAACAAAAGAATGTGCATATCAAGAGGAATTTAGCATATATGCACATTCTTTTGTTAAGGCGCTCTTCTTCCACCTCCAACCCAGCTCCGAGCTTGGTAGTGTCTCATTCTTCACCTGAAGACGGCTGCTTGCGTTGTAGCCGAAACGTCGTGAGAATTATTTTATTATGTTTTATTTTATTATTTTATTACTGCCCTTCTACGTGACTTTACCGAAAAAACCAAGAAGATGAATCCCTGCAGTCACGAAAGCTTTAAATCAAAGTTTAATTGTATTGTTGTATATTTTTATTATTTCCCTTCTACGTGACTTTACCGAAAGAACCAAGAATATGAATCCCTGCAGTCACGAAAGCTTTACATCAAAATTTCATTCTCAATGATTAGTTTTTATCTTTTACGGGAGAACGTGTTCATGCTTATGGAGGAGATTTCAGTTGAGTGAAGGTACCTCGTCTGCATATCCCTTGGAGCGTACAACTCTATCGTTAACTTCGCATTAGTGTGGAGGGCCATTTTGAACGTATATTACATTGAACGAGATTTGAGCTATCCCTGTTTTTTCAGAGGGCACATGTATGTATGTATGTTGAACTTCTTTCGCACTGTATGTAGCCAACTATGCTAATCGGAGGTGCGGTCGGTGGAATGTCGAACTTAAAACAATTATAAAATGTTAATGTAATGCAAGAGTGGGACCCTCTCCTCATTTTAGCTGCGTACGTCAACTGAAAATTTAGCTCTGTAAATTAACGCGGACATCATGTATTATGTATTGCGAATGAGATGTGTTTAATTTAGGTTTTAAAAATGTATGATTAAATATGAGTGGTTCATATTCTTGGTTCTTTCGGTAAAGTCACGTAGATGGGAAATAATAAAATAATAAAAATTCAACAATAAAATTCTGACGACGTTTCGATTGCAACACAAGCAATCGTCATCAGGTGATGATGTTGCAATTGAAACGTCGCGAGAATTTTATTGTTTTATTTTATTTATTTTATTCTTTCCCTTCTACGTGACTTTACTGAAAGAACCAAGAATATGAATCCCTGCAGTCATGAAAGCTTTAAATCGAAAAATGAGTGTGGTTGTTCGTGGAGTACCGAGTTTACTTGTTGTTTTGCGTGACTGTTTTCACCAAGAAAAGACTCGCTGAGTCTCGATACTTTTTCTGGGAGGTCGTTGCTTGGGATTTATTTTTTAATTTACAATTTCTTGAGTATTTTTTGCTTGATGAGGGAGGCTTGTGTTGCCTCCGAAACGTCGTGATTTAATTTAGTTGTTTTCATTTATTTTATTTTATTAATTGTTTTACCTACGTGACTTAACCGAAAAAACCAAATAGTATGAATCCTTGCAGTCACGAAAGCTTCAAATCTAGAATAATTTTTTGCTTGTTTGCAGAAAGCAGAATACCTGAAGAAAACCCCACACCTACAGAGAGAAACGTCACAAAAACATGTTAGCAATGTACTTGTGTATCTCTTATGCTGACAGAAACCTCACTGGCCCTGTTGTTTGGTGCTTTTGCAAATGACCTCAGCTTGATCTAGTTATGCTCCCTCCTTGCTACTGGATTTTGTAAAGGTGGACAAGTTAACATATCTTATTTCATCCAGAATACTTTCTACAAGCGGTGCCCTTTGTGGCTCCATGAAAAGTTGGTGAAAGTTGTTGCTGGGAATAAATGGTTATAAAATTGTAACCAAGAGTTCAAGTAGCAACGTCTATACTAAAAATCGCAATCTGGTAAATGGAGTCGAAAGCTTACGTTAGAGGTATATGTGAAACGTCAATTGAATTTGTACCACTGTCAGTACAGTGTCATATAAATAGGAGCATGGCCCAGCCTGTATTTAAAACTTATGTGTTTATTCATCCTCAGCTGTTGAAATAATACATTTCGGACGACAGCTTGGAAGAGTAATTAATTTGCGTGTCCGCTGGAGGGTGCTCTCCTGATTAACTGAATCGATGGCACCCGAATGGATCGATGGAATTCGAACATAAGGTGCAGCATGTGCACTACCCCTCTCTTGAAGAGAGAGGAATATCTGAGGATGAGAGCTGCCCCTGGGGCCACACGGAAAGACCGCTGGAATAGCAATGGTGAGAAAACAACCGCTCGGAAATTAATCGCTGGAAATCTTAAAAACGGCGCCGAGACTTTAAATTTTTAGGACGCGCGGCATTTTTGTATGGGTGCGTTCATTTTACGTCTGTGAATGCAACGCGTATGTCTCTACGTACGTGTGTCTGTGTGTATATTGCTTTCCCCGGGTCATAGAGGCCATCAGTCAGTGGCCCTTGGAGGAAACAGCCTGTCGGCTGATCTGCCATTTCCCTTTTGCGCCTTCTGTCTTTTTTTGCGTGCGGCCACAAAGCGAGGCGTTCTTCTCTTGGGGGATGGTGGGGTGGGTGGAGGGAGTGAGTGAGGGAGGGTCTGGCCCCCAGTCTTTGGCTCATTATGGTTGCACCGTTAGTCGCAGGCATTGTGTGCGTGCGTGCTCGTGGGTGAGTGGTACATGCACACAGCAGGGGCAGCGGTGGGCGTGCGCTCGGGTGGAGGGGGGGAGGGAGTGTCTCTCTGCTTGTGGAGCGTGCGCGTATGAGAGAGAGAGTGAGAGCTCCTAGCGCCGTTAGCTGTTCGTGCAGAGAAAGGGAGAGAGGAGAGAGAGGAAAGCGACACACAGAGAGAGAGCAGCAAGTAAAGCCATGCTTGCTTGGCCGGCTCTGCCTAAATCTACGTGTGCAGCCATTTGGGTGATTATTTAACGGGGGACGGACGTTGCAAAAGAGAAGAAAGGAAACAAAAACGGGACCACAAAAAACCAGAGACAACAGACATCCAGTGACGGGCCCGAGCTACTTGACGGCTGCCAGTGACTCAACAAGTCCCGCGGAATAAGCTCGAGAAAAGTTGCAAGCGAGCATCAACAGCGCATGGGTGTCGGCTCGGGAGAACTGTACGAGTTTGCATGCCATGGCGGATCACAAGCTGGTAAGTTACTACTACTGCTGCTGTTGTGTGTCCTGTTCAGCTGAACGCCCTTTAAAGGCTGGCGATTGTGGCAGGGGTTGGGGGTGGGTTGGAAGCATGCCTTTTGTTCTGCCTCAAACCACAGGCCGATTGCACATCGAGCCTGAGAGTGTTTTTTTTAAGGCGGCTCACAACAGCGTTGCGTTAGGGCCGGTAAAGCGGTTGCTGCTGCTGCTTCTTCTTGTTCCTCTTGTAGCGACGTTTGCACGGGAACGTGCGTGCGCCTAACGCAAGCACGCAAATCGGAGATCCAACCACATCAGGTCGCGTGCATCGTTGTACAAGACCCCCGCACGTGGACGCACGTTAAAGGGCGTGCTTCATTCCATACCATTCATCCTTAAGATTGTTTCTCCGCGTTTTGTGCGCGGGGTAAAGTATTACAAGTAGTTACAAACACATATTTGGTGTTGTACGCAAAGACCTCCCCCCCCAACACCCCCGATAGTCTTAACATAAATTTGGTGCCAAGTGACGTTCAGAGAGAGATAGCACCTGATATGAGGGCCGGCAACGAACGGCACACAAGGGGGGCTGGGTGGCCAGGATCACACCCTAGTGGCAATGTTTACACATCGCACCAGGTACTCATTTGAGGCTGGTTCGACCGGCTCAAGATGAATCGTCAACTGGCGTTGAACTGAACGGTGAATCGAACTCGGGGTGGCTGGGTCCGTAGCGCGATGCCGCTGGCCAACGTTGCCACCCACGTTTTGTACACGGTGGTACACACATCTGCACACATCTGCACACAGAAAGCACCAGGCAAGTGCAACAAATGTGCGCCCAACGTTTGTTTGCAGAGGAGACCCGCGCGTGGTCTCTTGTTGCTTGGTCTGAGTTCAGTGGCTGCCTTGTGGCGTGTCTGTCACCTGAGCTGTGCGAGTTAAAACAGGCAGCTGGTACTACCACCGCTCAAGGCTGTGCCTTTATTTGATGCATAATGCATAGGCAGCAAGAAATGTTTACAGAGGCTCATGTGCAGTGGGCTGAATGACCCACAAGACACACGATACATGAAGAACAAATCTAAAACACAGTATTTTTATTGAATGGTTCAGAGCCATTTCAATTTGTGCTACCTCCAATAAAAATCTGCAGTGTTATTTTTTTTAAAATAATAAAGAACATTTACAATGACCATTTGATTGTTAGTGTTGTACATGCACGTGAATCCTGCTTGTGGAAAGCCACCTTGCTGGATCCAGCACGCTGTGTCTCATAGTTGATAATCTAACATTGGTCATGAGTAACACGTACTACGTGCAACTCTGGGTCGGTCACACTAGGGGGTTGGGATTCTGTGGTTTTTGGACTGCTTGCCTCTTGAAGGAATTGTGTTCTCCACCACAGTAATCCAACCACATCCTCGCAATAGTTATTATTCTACACTGTATAATTCATGACATGGTCATATCACAACCGGATATGAAAGCATGTGGCGAAGGGATGTGAAATGTTTGCACGCGTCCTGAAAACGAAGTGATAGTGTTTGTCCAGACTTCTCACTCTCCCACTGCCTGGCATCTGTGCTTGAAGCAAAAAATGTGCGTGTGGTTTTTTTTCACATGCAATAGTCTGTACCGAATTTGTAAAAAGCATCTTGGGTTTTACATTTCCTGCCGTACGAATGACTAATTTCCGCATGGTGTATCGGGCACATGCAGGTTAGGTTAAGGTTTGTTTGGTTTAATTTAAAAAAGGTTCGTTTCAAGAGCTGATGGTGAGGTGGCATTACATTTTTTCAGTTATCTCTCTTCCCTTTATACATGTTTTAAAGGCCTAATTTGGACAGATACAATGTATTGTCAACGTGGTAATTGCTTGACTGTGGTACATGCTTTACTCTATCATGACCCTTTTTGGAATAATGTATTGCTGTGCACCACTTCCAGTGTTATTTTTGCAGCACAACATTCCCCTGGGACAGCCCGCATGACCACATAGAGAGTTCATATTGTCATTAGATTCTAAAGAGCATTAAAAAAACCCTTTAAATACCTTTCTAAGAGTGTTAAGCCATTGAGTGAAAATGTATTAATCTGCTAATGTTTATTGATTTGTAAGACATCTTGCGAAAGTTAACACATAATTTGCTTGCATTATGGTGTCGATAAAGACGTATCCTTTAAATGGATTAAATGCTGAATAATTTAGCTGACTAAAACGGGTTTAATGAGTTTAGCTTCCTGTTAGTTGCGGTCAAATTATGTTTAGTAAAGCATGAAAGCAGATTAATTGTTGGAATATCAAATGTTTTGTTTTCTTGGATACAATCGGACACGGAAGATATTGCCTGCAAATTGACATTCACATACCAGGTCCTCGGGGCGGCGATTTGACGGCCCACATGTACAGTGGCTCCACGTGTGGAAATTGACTCGAGGCAATGGCTTGCTCTCCCACACAACTTGCGCCTCATCGAGACTCCCCTTAAATGTTGGTCTGTTGCACCCAATCGCGTAAATTCTCGCATGATTGTCGTGACAAAGTTAAGACTCGTTTGATAACTTTCCTTACGTGATAATTGTATGACCTGCGTTTTACCCAATCACTTGCATTATCTGGCAATACATTCATTTTGTGATGATAGATTTAAATCTGATTCTGACCCATGATACATTTTGTTGATTTGCGCGTGTGTGCGCGTTTTTATTGTGAATATGCTGCGTGTAAACAAATCTTCATCATCCTCTGAAGCAGACGGTGCAATTTTTTACGGTCACTACATCTGCAGTATTAATTGGGGCGGCTGCTGGATTCGAACTGTGAACCTGTGCAACAAGCGGTGAACCCGCTCCCGCTAGGCCGTGTCACCGCCAGATGACGGCGTTGACATTAGTTTTATTAAATAGACTTAACATGCTCGTACGCTGAATGTATCAATATACATTTTCCCGAAATTGTGATTGTTCTCTGGAGTTGTGTTTGTGCACCTTTTAAAGTTTTCCGGCCAAGGTTGAAAGTGGGCAGGGCGCATGGGGCTATTGCAAACATCCAATTTGAAGAAAAAAAACTCGAGTATAAAGTTGTGTTGCTGTTAAGGACTTGGCCGAGAGAAAGACAGCCAAATTGACCAAAATCTTGGCGAAAAAAACCAGCGCTAATAGGATTTGCCTTGCCAGCCAAGCTATTGACGTCATGATGATGTCAAACATGCGTAGTGTGACATAATCTCTCATGTGGCTTGGAATGTAACGTTACAAAATATATTTAAATATATCTGAAGACAACGGCACATTGGAAAAGCATGACAGAATCCAGGTATATGCATGATTTGTCATCCTGTTGTGTGGACTAGTAAAACCAATGTTTAAGTTGTGTTGTCATCTATTTTTTTTCTTTCTTGTGTGTGACTTAATTGAAGTAGGAACTCAAGATGAATTATGAAATCTAGCTTGTACTTTAATTAAGGAAGTATATCTTTGTGATGTCAATGGCTAAACTTGAGTGATTCCCAGCTAAAGAAAACACCAGCAGCAAGTGATATTTTACTGGTAGGAACCTCCTGGTTACACCAGCCCACAGGGGATTATTGTGTCCGTCCGTCGTGCATGGAAAATGGGAGGGGTGGGGCTGGGTAGAGAGGGGAGGGAGGGGTGGGGCTGGGTGGGGGGTGGGATGGGTGGGGCTGCGTGGGGAGGGGCTGGTCACCCCGTGGTGCCCTTATACAACTCAACGTTTAACCTACTCACGCCGGCTTGTGCCCGCCCTCACAGTCGGGCATATTTGCGGAATACACCACGCCGCCGTTGACCCTGGCCATTGACCGAGCAACCCAACGTTCCTACCAGCTCCCTCCGCAGGAATGTGTTAAGCAGTCCTGGGCGCACCCCCTTTACCAACCCGCACCGATTAGCGTGGAATAAAGTGTGGTCAAACATTCCCCTCAATCGACACGGTGTGGCATTCTTCCAGCAGTGGATTTACAAAGGGGTGTAATTTATAAGTTGGAATTAAAATTTATGCACACAAAATACATATATTACGTGCGAAAGACCCTCAACATACATGTGCTTCCTGTGTGATAGGCCTTTTATGCACATGAAACTCATGTTGATGCTATAACGATAACCTTTATTTAAATGCTTGTGGCGAGTGATTCCACGGTTTTGTGACACAGGACCTCAAGAGTATGTTGCTAAATACGCAAATGAAATTTTATTTATCTAGGAAAGGCTCGCTAAGTCTTAAGACCCTTTTTCCTCCATTGGGATGTTTGATAAATTCCGTTCTCTGGAAATTTTGTATCCGTGAGAAAACCAGAGTACCCAAAATCTACAGCTAATGAGGGAAATACTTCGAAGTCTGCATGGACAGGTTCACAAACACACTTGCTCTCATGCCATCTCCTGGCCACCAAGCATTCCAACGGGTTTCGAAGTTGCACAGGTCTCCGTGATCCATCGATTGTTGTTTCAGGCAATTGAAATGCAGGCTAGTGTTGGGTGTTGGGATTTTTTTTTTAATTTGTATGAAAAAGTCATGCACCTTTCATTTTTCAAATGCATTGAGCTTAATTTGAACAGGTTTTGTGACGGCATTCTATGATTTGCCTATTTCACCCAGGGCTGTTTGTTTTTGCAATAGACCGATGAAGTTATGTATGCAGTGTTCTTTAGGACGGCACACATGTAATATTGCATAGAGAAGCTTGTATTTGGTTGTTCATGCATCCATCGTGAAACTAAACAGATATTTTAATTAATGATTCAATTCACAATTACGTACTTAGTGTCATCAATTGAGCATCGAGTTGCTGTCCAGCATTGAATCGCTGAAATTATAATTGATAATTGCATTACAGAGCAAAAATTTGTATCTGAGTCAGTGACTCAGAACATATGTATGCACTCATTGCACCGCACTATGGCTGTAGCTTCTAGTCGCGTGCCTCCTCCAATTTACCATCCACCCAAGAAATAGCCAGGGAGAATTTAATCCCCGTGTATAACTATACA